AAAAAAGGGTTATGAATGAGTCATCCTTGATCCTTGAATTAAAAAGAAAAGAGACTCCTTACATAACCATTTCCCCAAGATTGATTATTCAATGACAGGGAAAGGGCCCATTCTTAAGGTAACTGGTAGACTTCTTACATAATAACAAGTGTCCTAAGGCCCAATTGAAGCTCAGGTCCTGCCTCTGAATATGGGCTTCACACAACATGCGAGAAGAATTTTCCTATTCCTGGGCGTAGCTGAGGCTAGACTTAGCCTTGGACATGAACTTGACGGCAACCCTTGAGAGTCTAGTAATAGTAGCTTGTTTACGTTCTCACACTTACATATTAATATTCGAAATTACCTTATTCTACAATTCATTTTAACTTGCCAGAATTTCAGTGTCTTAATAATTATATTTATTTTCTTCTTTAATGATTGGAAAACACAATGAGTAGTAACCCTTCATGAAAAAACGGTTATTCGTTTGATGTAATTAAAATTTTACTTATTGAGACAGTATGTATTGTTGGTATTTTCAGGATCTTAAATATGAACGTTAACAAGGACTGAAATCAAATTCTGGATCTTCCAAATTAAACTGATGTTAGAATCAAACATTCTGCATTCTGCTCTTGTGAAATTCACATGTTCATCAATCATCACGCAGTTTTAGTATTAACCTCAAACCTTCTTAAACCATTAAGCACAAAAGCAATGCCTTCTGTCGGGGAATACAAAAGAAAAAGAAAACGGAAAGGAAAAGAGAGAGACTATAATTGCTTTGTTTCATCTGATGCTTTTGCTTGTCCTTAAAACAATACAAATCCCACTACAGAAGCTAACTAACCTTCCACCATAACTCTGAGGGATTCTCTGATATTCACCTACAAACCTACTATATCACAACACAAAATTTCTTCATTTCTATGTTTATGTTCCCTAATCATTCTATTCATCTTTCCATTTCTTAGCCTCGTAGGTCTTTGTAGAACAACTTGTGGTGATATCCCAATACCTACCCTTTTGGGATTGATGATGGCTGTGGCGGCCCTTATTACAGGCACATGCTTGCTTGCTCCGTCCCTGACAAGCTTGACCTGCGTACACACTCCGGTAGATACCCTGTACGCAGCATTAGTTGCTCTGATCCTCATATTCTTGTTACCGATCCATTAATGTGGAATTGTCAAGATGGTGATAACTTTCGTTCAACTAGGCCTTTTAGCCTTGAACACAAGCACACATTTCTCACCGTCCTCTCAAAATGACTACCTCTTCTTCAACTGCAGTGTGGATTATGTGATAGTTGAGCCAAAGCCTATCTTCTGTGAGAGATTCCCTGACCAGTGTGATTCATCATGCGATTGTGCTAGTTATCTTTGCAGGCATTTACCTGAATGCGCCACTGAACTGGGTGGTAATTCTTGCTGCTCTTACTACCCCAAAGCAACAGAGTCCTTGAGGCTGATGCTGAAATAGAGTGCATCATATACAAGTGTATATTGGAGAACTGTAGGTACAACTACTGATTCTCCTTATAACCCGGTACCTGAATATGGAACTCGGGTTGATTTTGATGTTCCAGTCACTAGATACTGCCTTCAGTGTCAGGATCCATCTGCAACATGTGGATTTGATACACAAACAAAGAATTTCTTGTGTCTATGTAAGGAGGGAAATGTCACCTCTTATTTTAAAGGTGTGCTTTAACTGGACATTCTTGATTTATTAGAATTTGGAAGTAAGATTCATAATTTCTTATCACCCTGGAATTTTTTCTCTCTTAATATTCAGGTACTTCTTTCTTTCTTTTTGTCTTGACAAGGCTGTTTAGCTTTGATTGGAATGTTTTGCCATGAAAATTTCTGATCACTTTTTGTCAGTCATCCCTAGCTAATCCTCTTATAATAAGTTGAGTGTTAGCTCTTGTGCAGATCATAGCAATTCTGGGCACAGAAGGGCGGGAGTCATTGCAGGTGAAATTTCAATAATTCGGTTTAGCATTTTGTATTAATAGTGCTAATGAATAATGATGGCAATTAAATAAAAAGTAGGACGGAGCAATTGGTCAATTCGGTTAATTCAGTTCAAAAAATTTTAAAATCGATTTAATCGACTTAATAAAAAATAAAACCGAACTGAACGAATAGTAATATAAAATCAAGAAAACCGAATTGATTTAATTTTGTCGGTTTCGATTCATTTTTTCAGTATAATCGATTCTGATTTCTTATTTTCTATATTTAACTTTGAAAGGACATTTGATTCAAGGGAATCCACACATTTTCCCTCTGAATCTTACTGTTCGATATTTGATTCCAACGTTTAATTCAAAGTAAATTGACTTAGGAGAAAACTGACAGATTCTCAACAATATCTAAAGTTCCAAAATCAAAACCCACCTCTCCTTATGATATTTTAAGATTTTGAATAAAAAAATAATGTTATTTTCAAATTTGACCTAACTAAAAAATTGTAAAATAGTCGTTACCTTTTTGAAAATTATGTCTAAAAATGAATGTAAGTTAGTTGTAGGTTTTGGTGGGTAAAAAATTTGGTCTATATATGGTATTTGGTATGAAAAACGCTTTTAATATTCTTTTATAAAAAATTGAATGGGGTTATTCAAAATATTTTTGGCTAAAAATACTTTAAATAATTCTAAAAATTTTTTATAAAGGAGTTATTAAAGACGTCTTTTTACCAAAAATACCTTGAATAATCCCTTATAAAAAATTTAATAGAGGTTATTTAAGGTGTTTTTGCCAAAAAACATCTTTAATAATCCTATCATAAAAATTTTTAGGGATTATTCAAGGTGTTTTTTGCCAGAAACACTTTGAATAACCCAATTCAATTTTTTGTAAAGAATTATTGAATGCGATTTTTTGGTAAAAATGCCTTGAATAATTTCTTTAAATTTTTATGAGTTTAGGGTTTTAGGTTTATGGTTAAAGAATTATTCAAGACGTTTTTGACCAAAAACGTCTTCAATAACCCCATTTAATATTTTTAAGGGATTATTAAAGATGTTTTCTAAGTAAAAATATATTAAATAATTCATTTTAATTAAAAATTAGATTATTTAAGTTATCATCGTTTATGCCAAAAAAATTATAATAATTATTCAAGATTTAATATATATGGATTTTTCTCAACCAAATGAGTGAATCTAAACACGAGATATCCTGAAAATAGAAGAAAATCTTAGGTCTCGCATTTTTTTGACGATCACACTTTTTTTCAGAATCTACGATTTCACGAACCAAACGCTTTCTTAGTTAATTAGTTTTGTGTAAATTATAAAATATAAAAGATAAAAAAAATTAAAATTATATTAATAAAATATAAAATATTTTAATAATATTTAATAGAATTTTTCAGTCGATTCGGTTCATAAATTTTAAAATCGAAAACCAATCGTCTAAATTGATTTAACCGATATCCAAACCGATTTAATATGTATAACCGAACAAATCAAAATCGATTTAACTTATAAACTGATTTTTGATCAAATTTTTCAGTCAAAACCGATTTTTGCACAGCCTTAATAAAAGATAAAAATTAATATGATGAACTTGTATATCAAAATACAAAGATTAGGACATTGATGATTTCATATTGTTGCAGGGACTGTAACTGCAGTTTCAGCTGCTGGAGCCATAGGGATAGGGGTTAGTATTTGCTTCTTGAAGAAAATGAGAGCTAAAGCACCTGTAACATTTGGAGTTCAAAGCAACGAGAATAGGCTTTTCTGAAGAAGTGTTGGTGTGAGCAAAGTGAAAGCAACAGCAACTTTATTCTTTTCTTACTTCGGTAATCTTTTTGAACTGTTGGATAAACCTCCTTAATGGTTTGTTCTGTCCTTTGTTTATAGTAACAGAAATTTGAGAGAGCTGAGGATTCACTCCTATGATTTTGCTGCAAGGAGATATTGGAGTCTAAATTTTGGAAAGCTAAAGTCGACTCGACTAGCATCGAGAAAGAAAGAAATTAAAGTGGTTATAGCAAAAGGAGGGAAATAAGTTTAAAGTTTATAGCATGGCTTGCCAACAAGACAGCGTAGGTACATCTTCCATTCATCATATCTGTTGTTGGCAACTTACATGGGCGTATAGCCTATCCTGAGTCCTGGCCCCAAATTTATATATTATCAATTTGTTAGAAAACTGACGCCAATTGTCTCGCTCTCTTTACCTCGGCATCCTCTCAATAAGTCCCTCACCACAGCGGTTAAAAACTACTGTAACTTTTATGACTTTGTCCGCAGTTAATTTGTCGGTGGATCCTAACAACATCACCCGCAATATTTGGATATGATTAATTGGTTAAAATTAAGACAAAATTGTTTAGTTATTATATCTAGTAACATTTTTAATTTCTCCAGCTCGAAATTCAGTACAATTTAATAACTATAGTAAATTAACCCATATTTCTTACTTTTGGGGATCATAGAGGAGATAATCTCCATTTACAAGTATCCTTCTCAATACTATCATTGCTTGAACAACTCTCTTTTTCTTATTAATTAGTCATTGTTCTTTCCATTTTTGTCGCTTACGTTTACCCAAAATTATGTTTCAAAATCTTTCGTCTTTATTATTATTATTGTTATTATTATTGTTGTTGTTTTGGAGTTAAATTAAAATTACATCAACATTCCACACGTTAATTTAATAGCATATAATTAATTAATTCATAGTTAATAATTAAAAATATATATCTCTTCCTTATAAACTACGTGTGCGTACTTTTTTTTAAGGAAAAAAAACATCGAACTAATTATAAATACTTCTTACATACTTTCAATAAGACATAATAATAAAACATTTCATTTCATATAGTAAGCAAATAAAACAAATAATTTAAACATATGTGGGAGCACATCAAGACATATGCTTCGCCCTTTATTTAGTAACTAATAGCTAGTATAATAGAAGGAAATTAATTTCATCGATTTCAGCTTCAATACTTAGATAATTATCCAGGTGGCTTGAAGCCTCTTCAGCCAACTTTTATGCATAACTGCACATCCCATATAGACAAGCGTTTCCTTTACCACAGTTATTGTTGCATCCTCCACAGTGCCTCTGGTTGGACAATGGGTTCACACACTTCCCTTCACAGCAAATCTTGGAATAGTTACACTTCTTGCCACACTTTCCGCAGTTGAATTTGTCCGTCTTGATATCTACACATTTTTTGTTGCAGCAAAACTGCCCTGGGCTGCCATTAATGCGACAAATCTTAGGGTTTTTGTCACATGTCTTTGCAGCACGAGAACTCTGGGCAAGAAATCGACCTGCTCCTCGGAAGGAGCTTGGCTCTTGCGTATCCGCCATATGAAGATCAGAAGCTTCACTTGGATTCTTATCATTGTTGCGGAATGGTTCTTCTTCTGATGTTGTACTGGCGGAAAGAGTAATGGCTAAGGCCATTACCATAGTCAACATAAAGAAAAGCTTGAGCGATTTCATGTTTTGAAAAAATATCAAGGTAAAGTTTAGAAGAAAAGGTGGTAATAATATAGATATGAAAGCATTGGATGGGAGGGGTATTTATATAGAAGAATTGACGCTGGTAAGAGGGTTATGAAAAGAAATTGCATGCATGGTATGTGTATATCCATATGCTGCTTGGGTTAGTGGATATTCTAATCCAACGGGCAGAGAAAATCCAAGTAACTGAAATTAGGCATCTTGAATTAATTATGAATAGTAAAAATTCAAATAATTTGTAGTTGAAAATGTGGATGTGAAGGCAGGCAAATCGCCTCCTATTATCGATTTGTTAGTAATTAACACTTGTCATACGCGCTTGTTACTTTTTTATGTGGTCAGGCTGCATTGAATTTGATCATTTCTATCAAAAAATTGAACATCTCTATGGCAGAATGATGCAAAAGTTTAGGTTGCTAGGATTAAAATTTTTTTACTTTGTCATAACGTCTAGATCCGAAGATCTATTACTTGACATTGACTTAAGGAGTCGCCACCAATCTTTTTTATTTAGGTGCGATTGACCACCTAAGGAATATATCATTTCAAGAAACACCTAAGCTTAAGGGTCTTTAAAAGAATATATTCAAATCTATTGATCAAAACAGAATTCTGGAGTTCGGTTACGAGTCAGAAAATTATAGCATCTTCATAATGCCCATCGAAAGATGGTACCAACTTAATTTCATATTATCCGATAAGTCTTAAAAATTTTACCAAGTAATTAATTATTGAAAATTATTCTTAATTAACTCTAATACTTTTGGTAAAAAATTAAGAAAATTCTCTTACCTCAAGAGTCTATAAGAAAACTACTGTTTCACTTACAGAGACTCCATCGTCGGATTATTTAACATTAAAAATTTTCAAGAAAAGAAAAAAAATAATGATTCAATTTTTTATATAAATCCTTTTCTTTTCATTTAAAAAAAAAAACCCATTGTTTTTGTATAAGAAAAATTGATACTTTCAACTTTTCCCTAAAGTATTTGGAAGTTTTTATTTAAGGAAAATTGATACTTTTAACTTTTCTTAAAAATATTTTTTCTTTAAATTTTATTTTTAAAAAAAATTGGTACTTCCAACTTTTCCTCAAAAATGCTTTTTTTTTTAAATTTTAATTTCAAGAAAAATTGGTACTTTCAATTTTTTCTCAAAAATATTTTTTTTGAAAACTTTATTTTAAGGAAATTGATACTTCAACTTTTCTTCAAAAATATTTTAAGGTTTTTATTTTCAAAGAAAATTAATATTTTCAATTTTTTCTCAAAAATATTTTTTTGAAATTTTTATTCTCTATTTAAAGAAAATTTGATATTTCAACTTTTCCTTTTTTTTTGAAAAATTTTATTTAAGGAAAAATTAGTATTCCAAAATTTCTTTTTTTTTTGGAAATATTTTTATTTTTTTCTTTTAAAAAATCATTAAAAAAAGTAATAAATAATAAGTAAAATAACAAAAAGAAGAATGAAATACCAAAAATAGTCGCAACTTAGCCTCAGGGGATCAACTTAGATCAATCGACTCTAAACTGAGGCACAGCTTAAGAGGCTCAGCTAACTCGGCTTACTGCAAAAAAAAAAAATGACTTGGTTTGCGGCTCACAGGATGCAGTTGCTGGGCAAAGTACGACCAGGTCGAGTCAACTAATGGGTCAACGCACGGACCTTTCACAGATTCTATTTCTCTTTTGCTCTCAAAACGACATAGTATTAAGTGCACGATAAATTCTATTTTTTTTTCAACTCTTTCATTCATTTTTCATTTTTATTCTCTCTAAGAAATAGTTGCCCTACCTCTCTTTCTAGGTTCCAGAGGAAAGTAACCAAAAGCTTTAAGCTTCCTATATTTTGACGTAATCCTGCTGTCGTCATCGCTGACCTTCGCCAACTGTCGTCTGATCACCGGTTTGCTTTGAAACTTGTAGCCAAACTTTTCTTGGCCTTCTCTTTCTTTTCTTTTGTGTGACTAGCTCAAATTTTTTAGAATCCCTCTAGAAAGCCCTGGATCTAAGCAAGAAATTCGAGATCACCACTGTCCAAAACACCATACAAATGAGTTGAAACCATCAAGAGTTTCCTAAAACCTTATTCTCACTCAAACCCAAGAACAAATATCAAGTGTCTTTGCTCCTTTCTCTACTAACTAGAAGAACAACCTAGCCCAGATCTTGATTGAAGTCGTCGTAGCCTTTGCCTAGTACTAGCCACCAAGCTTGCTCGTCTCCTTTCGTCATCACCGATCTTCCTCAAAAACTCAAATGCTTGCTGTGATTCCTTCCCTTTTACGTATCCCCTCAATTTTTTCTTCTTCTTAGGTTTCAATCAACAGCCCAGAAACCGTTCAAAGATCGTCGCCACAACTTCCAGCAATCACCCACTATCGACTTTCTCTTGAAGATACCAGAGCACCGGTGAATCATGCCACCATTTGCTATAGTTGCTTGATTTTCTAACTAGGTTCAATTTTTGGTGAAAATTTTTTGTATGTTTGGGTTATTATTTTTGGAAATTGATTTCGGGTTTACTGGGAATCAAGGGTGCTTTCTGGGTATGAGTGATTTGGGTTTACTAGCTTTTGGCTTGGATGGCTAATTGAAGCTACTTGCCACTCTGTTTTTGCTTCTGGGTTGTATTAAAGAGATCACTCAACAGAGTTCTTGATCAATTAGGAATTCATCTTCAATTGAATTTCTACATTATCAGAAACTCTAAAAATCATCCTGAAGAGATTGAAACCAATTGCAATTCTGCCAGTGTTTATGCATGGTAGAATTTGCAATTTTTCTTCTTTTTTTTTTAAAAAAAAGCTAAAATCCTATTATCTTAAAATAATAATAGAATAAAATTAAAAAAATCAAAATAAAAACAAAAAAATAAAATAAAATAAAATAACCAACAGTTTGGGCCTATCTATTTGGGCCCCATTGAGACGGGCCCCAATAAGCTTAGGCTCAAATTTTATTGAATCAAGCCCAATGAATTTGGGCCCAGATCAATCAGAGTGTCTACATACTCCAATAATTAATAAATTGTATAACTGAAAGGTGTCATTCCAAATTTGAATTGTAAATAGATTTATGATGTTTGGTTCTTTGTCTCTGAATGAGCACAGCCGTGTTCAGACTGGAATTAAGTATGGAATCAATATTAATAAATGTTTATTCAAGCTTGGTCTAATGATAATCTAATTTTGCTTAAATTTATTTATATTTGTAAATGATATAACTCTAGCTCATCCAAGTAATTTTTGTTTACAAAAAATAACATTTTATTTTTTCTTTAATAATTATTAAGTTTTAAAACATAGATAACAAATATAATTATAATGTTTACATACTATATTATATATTTATCTTTTTATGATATAATTATATAATATATAAAATAAAATTATATATCATATCATATATAATATTATATTATGAAATATAAAAGGTACTTGAAAATTTTATTTACATGGATGCCTATGTGATTAACTTTTCTATTTGACACATAAGAAATTATTCAAAAAATTTGTTACATGGATATCTACTTTAGTATGTTTCAAATTGTTGACAACAAAATTTAATTTAAATATATTATCTTTTTAAATTAAATAAATTTCTTAATAATCTAGAAATATATTTTTTAAATTTAAAATTTTCAAATGTAGTAATAAATTATCTTTTAAAGTTTTTTTTTGACATATAAAAAATTACTCAATAAATTTGTTAATTTGTATATCTACGCAAATAATTTTTGAATTATTGGAAAAAATTTAATTAGATAAAATTTATCTTAGAGTTTGCTTTTTAAAATGTATCTAAAAAATTTAAAATTTAAATAGCCTTTTTATATTATCTGATTTGCATATTCTCATAATGACACATGATAAAACATAATATTATTCTATTTTTTTTCAAAATCCTTGCCCTATTATCTGTTACAGATTAAATTCTAATACAAATTTGAAATTAAAAAATTTATCATATTAGGTTTAGATTTCACTAACCATGTAGATTAGTTATGATGGATGTATGTTTAGTAATTATAGATATAAGGGTATTTATATTAATATTAGCTGGTGAGCCTTTTTTTTTTTTTTTTTTAATTTAGTTACTTAATTAATTATTTATATATACCTTTGCCACTATGATTCTACACTTGCTGGTGAACTCTGAACTTAATGACTTTGATTGCATTTTTTTTTTCTCTAAAACAAATGAATTTTATGGTCTTAAAATCTCATAACTTTTTTTTTTCTTATGTATTAATTTGATCATTTTTCATTGTCATTTGTCTATTTACTCTTAACTTTAGGTGTAAAGGAATTTTAAAAAAGGTTTTGCGTATAAGATGAATGGATTTTTGGGATGTTTAAATCATGGATGCTCTACCACACATGTTAACAAATTTAAATTTTTTATTCTTTAAAAATTTTCTTTCATTAATTAAACTCAATACTTTTATCCCTACACGTGATTTGTGATATTATCATTCACCTTTATTTATTTATTTATTTTTATGTTTTCAATAAATCATGTGGAAAAGTTTGTAATTTTGACCTAATATTTACTAAAAACAGGTCACTTCTTATAATTTTTCCATGAGTGTAGTAAATCGATCCTAATGTGTTTTAGATAGCCCGATCTTGTAACCTTCTTCTTTTTAATTTATTTTTGTATTTTCAAATTTTATTTCTTTTCATTTTTCATTCATTGATTGCTTTTCTTCTTAATGTTTTCTTTTTAATGGTTGTGATTTAGATTGAAAAGGAAACTATATTGAGGATATAAGTGATAGGTAAAATATCTTTTTTTTTTTTCGAAAGTTCATTAAAATACTTGTCTACATAAACTAGACATAACTTTTTTTCTATATAAACATGTTACAATAGGGAAAGAGGTAAATTTTTTTTTTATTTTATGCTGAAATTCTTGATTAAGGGAACGATACAATTGCTATATATATTATTGTCAATTTTATGATTTTCTTTTATGTTAAAAGAAAACATTAGCTATATATATGATATGGTTTTTTTGAAATGAACAATAAACTACTTTAAATTTGCATTTTTTTAACTAGATAATTATAAGCTTTTCATTTCATTTAAATATTTTCATTTGATTATTCAATTTTAAAATGCTTTTAAAATTTAAAAATATACTTATCCAATTCTTTCAATTTATATAATAGTTTTATATTAATTTAAATAATATATAAGACATCTCTTTAATCACTATTTCTCAAAGTAGTAGTAAAATTCATTATGAATATTAGTAATTAGTTTGTCTTTTTTTAATATAAAATAAAAGATATTCTTTTTCAATTTAAAATCACATACATCTACTAATTTAATTTTTTTTATTTATCACTTATGATTTATTAACAATCCTTCATTTTTAATGAAAATCGTAAATAACTATAATTTTCTCATTAAATTAGGCACCTAATATACTTTCTAAGATGTTTTTATTTTTACCTTTATGTCAAATTAATCTTTTAAAGAAAAATATATTAATCTACAATTATCAAATCTTTTCTTTATTATACCTTTTAGTTAAGTTGTAACGTCTTTCTATTGTTTCCTTTAACAACTGAATTCATATATATATATATATATATATATTTTTTTTTGCTCTACGTTGATTTTGAACTTATGGATATTCTTACTCAAGTGTTACACAATGATAAATCATGAATCATAATATTTTTTATTCTTTTGTGCAAATGAAATTTTTTGAAATTTTTATTTAAAATGTTTGTATTATTTCTATTTTAAATGAAAATTAGACAACGCAAATGAAAAAAAAAAAAAGGTATATAGTTATTACTATTACTATTACTATAGTTTTAATTTTAATAATTGATATTTTAATTAACATTTACATTCTTTCATAATTATCTCACTTTTAACAAATTAACCCAAAACTAGTATATGCATGTTATATATACATTATACATATAAATTAAATAATATTTATTTATGTGTCTACACATATATTTAAATAAATAAAATTAATTTATACATCACACGGAATATAAACTAATTAATATTATATAATTGAAAAAATAGACGAAACCAAACTCAAGCTTTGAATTTAGAGTCAAGGCCCTTTTATGCATTTAAAAGGACATTTTTTTCTCAAGCTAATTTTACAAGTTTCCTATTTTATTCAAACCCTTTCAAAAATTAGAGGGGACTTAAAGACTTGGATGGGTTTATTTTGATCTAATGATTTTTTTAACTTTGTTTTAGGCTTCTTGGTGGCCGTTTGGATCTCACCGCACTTTTGGTGTGGTATGATTAAATTTATCCACTTTTCAGTTAAATCCAAACGTCAACTCTGATAAGATCAAGTTAACATAAATTTCTCATTAAATTTTTTTTTTCAATCGTAGCTACAGTAACTTTTTTTTTCAATTGCAGCTATTATAAATTTTATTACTATTTTTAATTTCATCACAGTCACTTTCACCACCCATCCAAATGAAGTATTAGCTGTTAATTTTGAAGTGTGCAACGACTGAATTATGCCGATTTAACTCAAATAGCATTTTTAAAGATTTATTTAAGGTTAAGTTTGATTCGTTAATTAAAATTCATATAAATTTAATTATAATTTTAAAATATTTAGAAATATTTTATGTTAATAGTTGATTTTTTTTAAAATTATTTTTATAAATAAAATAATTATTTAGGCTTAACCATGTTCTATTAAAATTTTTGTATAAAACTTAACTTGAGTCAAATTCAGCTCACAGACTTAACGAATAACTCAAATGTAGATGGATTATGGATAATGTGTGTGTATATATATATATATTGGGTTTTATCTGTTATTTTGTGACTATCAACTATCTGTCATGTAACTCAGATCAAGAGTCTTCTCTTAGGATTTTTTTTTGTTCGTTTTTTCTTTTGGGGTTATAACTATGTTGTTTTGTTCAGAGTGTGAGAATCACCTGATTCTCTCGTTGCTATACTTTTCTCACTAATATGAAATTATGATAGGGCTTATAAATAAATATGCCTATATATATATATATATATATATATATATATATATACCACACACACTTGGATAGCTCTAATTCAACCAATATAACAGTCTGTTAGTTTGGTTCAATCAAATTATATAATTTATATTGCCTTTTGGGTATTGAATTATACATATTTTCACTTTTAATATTCCTCTTTATTAATATATACTAATATACTGTAAATTAATATATTCATTCACATTTGTGTAAGTATTCATTCATATAAAAATATATATGAGAAATGATCAACTTATACAGTGTAAAACTTTTTTTAGTTTTATATTTTTTTAATAATTGATTTCAATAGATAAAAAAAATGAAATTAAATTATTTTTTCTTATTTTTACTTGTCTCTCTCATTCATTGAATCTATTAAAATCAAGGTTAGAATATATATATATATATATATAAAATTAAATTATATTTTTTTAACCATTGATTTCAATAGATCTAATGACAAAATTAAACCACTTTTTCTTATTTTTCTAATCTCTCTCATTCCTTGTATCTATTAAAATCAATGTTTACAAAAATGTATACAACTTTTTTTAAGTCATAAAATGTAAGTTGATCATTTCTGTCTTTCTATATATAGAGGAGGGATCAAACTTACTAAGTGTAAACTCTTTTTTAGCTTTACATTTTTTTAATTATTAATTTTAATAGATCTAAAAAATGAGATTAAACCATTTTTTTATATTTTTACTTGTCTTTCTCATCTTTGACTCTATTGAACTCAATAGTTAAAAAATAAATAAAACTAAAAAAATGTTATACTCTGTAAGTTAATTTCTATATGTGTGTGTGTATATATGAGTAAGGTTAATTAACACAAGCATAAAATTTTTTAGTTTTACATATTTTTTTAATAATTGATTTCAATAGATTTAAAAGATAAAATTAAATTATTTATTTATTTCTCTCATTTCTTAGATCTATTAAATTAATGGTTAAAAAATGATGTAAAACTAAAAAATTTTACTCTAGTGTAAGATCACTCCTATATATTTTGGTGCAAATTAGATCACTCCTATATATGGAGAGAGATCTAACTTACATCAAAACCTTTTATACTTTTTTTAATAATTGATTTTAATAAATTTAAGAGATGAAATTACATATATATCAAAAAGGATCTAATTTACATAAAAAAATTTTACACTTTTTTTTTTAACTATTGATTAATAGATTTACGAAATGAGATTAACTCTTTTTGTTTTCACTTGACTCTCTTATTTCTTAGATCTATTAAAATTAATAATTAAAAAACATATAAAACTTGTTAATTGTATGCTAATTTAAATTGATATCTCTTTTTCATATATTTATATATACACGCACTGAAAAATGAGACGCCGAAGCCCGTTAATAACCAGTGTAATTTGCATAATTTCTAATAGTTTTTCTTTTTTTCTAATTCTAACAAATTTATCGCTAATTTGCGAATTCCTTGATCTATAGATGCCGAAATATATAGTTGCCTCCTTTTTACCTTTTTGACACTCCATTTCAGTTTTTTTTTTTTTTTTTTGGCCTACATTAGGGACCTAATAACTTCCAAGTGGATGGTCTTAAATTTTAACCCAACTAGGAACTATAATATGGATGTCAAAGCTGAAATTTTTGTGAAAGTAATAAAACTGATTAATTAATTTGAAATCTCTATCTTGCCCCTGGAATTATAAATTAAGCTTACAAAAATCATGTTTAAACTTTTTTTTAGCATAGATAGAAAATTCATGTATTCCAAAAAGTATTTTAATCTCTTGCTAGCTGGTTGATAAATCTATATCCATGTCTTACCATATCATCACAAGAATAAATATAACCATAAATAATTAATACTTAAAATATCTAAATTTTGAATAAATAATATATACTGTATCCAAGAACATTGTGTTTATATTACTTGTATATCTTCAAATAATAGTCACATATTTAAAACAATTATTAAATTAAAAAATCTTTTTTTTGTTACACCTAGAAAACAAAGTCTTAGTACAAGTAAGGAGAAGGGAAAGGCTTGATTCAAAACCAGGCCTTGATGTCCCTCAAGCGCATTAAATTAAAAAATCTACATCTGGGCGAAACCTACCAAATTGTGATGGCTCGCCTTTATTTATAGTATAATTCAAATGACTATATGACCTAAACATGTACTAAATGCTATCTGATCATTTGATCAATATCTAGAAGAGGTGTGGCGATGAATTGTTTCTATGCATAGCTGCACATTCCATACAAACATTTACTTCCTTTGTTGCAGTTATTGTTACAACCCCCGCAATGTTTTTGGTGAGACATTGGGTTCACACACTGCCCTTTGCAGCAAATCTCTGAGTACTTACACTTCTTACCACACTTTCCGCAGTTGAGTTTGTCTGTCTTCACATTCACACATTTTTTCTTGCAGCAATCAGGCCCCGGACTGCCCGCCACACGACACACTCTGGGGTATTTATTACACGTCATCACTGTCCGAGGTTTTTGTGCGAGAAACCGGCTGGTAATTTCTCGGAGAGAAGTTGGTTCGACTTGGCTATGATCATCGTTATCATCATCACCACCATCACTGTCAACAAATGATTCATCTTTAGATGGTGTGGCGGAGAGAGTGATGGCCAAGGCCATGAGCAAGGCAAACATGAGGACAATCCTGAGAAATTTCATGTTTCTTGAGAGTTTGCGGGGGAAAATAATACAATAAAAGATGCTTAATTTCGATAATTTGGGTGTGGGGAAAGAAATGAATGATGCAGAGGTATTTATCGACAAGATTGGAGGCTGCCACATGGAAGGTATTTTATAGAACTGCTGCATGGTTTCTTTTTCACCGATGCTGTTCTTAGTGGGATGGTCCAATTCAACGGGCGTATAAATTATAAAATATCAAGTAAACGAAGTTAGGCGTCCCAAGTAAATTTATACCGCAAAATTAGGCGAATTTCATCTACTTTATTTCTATCAAATTTTCCCACCCATTGGCCATTGCATAGTTTGATAATTGGAGTCTGTAGTAATTAAGTATTTTTTAATTGAAAATTGTTTTTGGGTTTTTTAGTTCAACTAGGCTAGTTGCCGCAAATTTAATTGGTATTTATTCGTTTGTATGGTTGATGGTAAAGGGATTTTTTTTTCAAAATTGATTTTTTGGAGTGGTGAGAGATGTTGGGGCTTTGCATAATACATATCTTTTTCCGAATTAATTTAAATAAATTTATTTATGTTAAATTTAACAAATTTTTAAAAATTATTTTTATAACTTTTTAACAAATATAAACTTGAGACAGTTAAAAAAAAAACCAAAATTTTTATCACTCAAATTAACCTTCATTGATTGAAACATTGATATTTCTGTCCAAATATGTTACAGCTTCATGATAATAGAAAATAGTATATAATTCCACAAAAAAAGTACACTTAATTTACTTGAAAAACGATAAAATCAAGTCAATGAACTTTTTTATTAAAAAAAATAAAAACGCCGTTATTAGCAGCCAAATTATGATTAAAGTAAGAAGTCGGTAGGTTGAAAGCAGAAGCGTCAACATGCAGAGCGTAACAGCTTCCTTCAACGAGACCAACAGTTGTTCAAATATGGCAAGAAACCCAAAATTTCATGATTTGCTTACAAAACGGTTACACAAGCACTCGCTTATATTCCATACTTTGAATTTTTCCGCACAAAAATTTCTATGGTTGATTGCTTGCATCTCTTGTTTTCTTTATGTGTGATTTTGATTTCACAATATAAAATAATCTTCATTCCCATATCACACTTCTTAAAATTCGAATTTTAAACTTTCAAATTTTGTTAGAAAAATTAGTAAAATTTAGAAAATTGAAAGAGAGAATCAATATTCAAGATGGTTTTTTTTCCCTAAAAACTTGCATGCTCCAAGATATAACAAAACTTCAAAAATTTTCAAATAAAATTTTTGCAAATAATTTTGTAAAAAAGTATTATATATATTTTTATATACATGTATTACTTTTAAATAATAAAGAAGATCCTTTCGCTTTATTTTTTAATTCAAGTAGTAATATAGCCATGACCCTATTCAAGCAAGGTAGAACCTACGGTCTCCACAGTTTTCGTGAACAAGATCCCTCTACAAGTTCACTGGAGGAGGCTATCTCAAATCTTCAGAATCTACGGTAAGGTGGTTGGCGTGTTTATACCACAGAAAAGGAGTACCAGAAGAAGCAACTACGGGTTTGTGCGTTTCGACAAATATATGAAGCAAGGAATGCGGTTAGGAGATTAAACGGAACAATGCACGCCTCGAGAAGAAATAGCTCACTAACAACAGAGAGGTGAGTCGTCTGGAACTCCACCAGAGGAAAAGGAGGCAGAAGGTAGACAGAGAACTTACATGCAAGCCCTGTTGGAAACTGACAACTCGACAACCAGAGATGCATCTGCTGGGAAAAAAGAAAGCTTAAAACTGAAAGCTTGCCAGGGGATGGTGGACGAAGAGTCGTTGCACAACCTTGAGAAGAGTGCAATAGGCATCTGCAGAGGCTATTGCGAAGCGAAGACGTTAAATGAGAATTTTAAAATGCAAGGAGTTTTAGACATATCAGTCAAGAAGATTTCGTGAAGACAGTTCCTAATCTGTTTTGAAGACGATGAAACCATGGCTACCATGGAACAACTAGGGTGGTCTTGGCTAAAAGAGTGGTTCATTGAGGTGGCTTACTGGTCGGAAGATACGGATTACAGATACAGAACTATATGGCTGACAATTTATGGGGTTCCATTGCATGCATGGAATTATGATACTTTTAAGAACATATCCAGCTTATGAAGTGAGTTAATCTCCATGGATGGCAAGACATTAAATTATAACGATTTCAGTAGAGGTACTGTTTTTATCATGACTAATCAACTGGAGAAAATCGACGAATTTCGTCAGTCACGAATGTGGCGGTAAAAGCTATAAGATAAGGGTATCCGAAGTACGATCAGACGTAATCTCATTGCTTCATTGCTGTTGCGATTCCTACAAGCAGTTGCAGAATAGGTTTGAAGATGAACAGCAGGATCTGGGTGCTAATATCAATGAGTTGGAAGTTGTGAACGAGACCGAGGAACACTTTATGAATAAAAAGAAGATAACACTTGATGAATAAATATACCTTTCCATAAATGAATATTTATCGCAAATTTTCACTTATGAACAGACGTAACATTTCAAGATTAATTTAATCTATATACTAAAATTATTGGTCACCGATACCATATGGTACTTGGTGCAACCAACAAAGCCGGTGAGTAATTCCTTGCACATGGAGGTGTCAAATGGGTTGCATGATTCATGACATGATATGATTTGGCACGATAATAAATCGTGTTTGACACAATCCACTGCTAAGCAATTGAGTTGAATCAAGTATAATATATATATATATGTATGTTTGTGTTCTATGCTAAACTAAAAGATTTTAAGTTCATTAATATGGTACGATTCGTTAAAAATTAGTGCCCGCACATGGCACATGAGCACATAAGTCCTGTTATGCCATGATGACTTACAATTGTTGTAAGGGGGCTTCTAGCCTTTGATTGTATTTATATTATTTTTATATTACACTGAAATTATACTTATTTTTTATATTTATTGATAATTTATAAAATAAAATTATTTATTAAATATTAAAATTATTGATAGGTAATTTATATTTAACTAATGATTAGTAAAGATAAAATGATAAAAATAATTAAAACTTCAAGTTAAGTACAAATTTAATTAATAAAATAAATTACTATAAGATGGGTATAAAATAAATGCACAAAGACATCAAATTATGTAAGTGAATCATGAGATGATGAGAACGAAAAAAATAATCATGTGTTTTATAATATCTTTTATATGTATTTGTGTGTATTTTTTTGAAATATTATGATTGTAATTTTAATATTTTATTTAATGGATTCTATTACCATTTTCATGAATATAGGCATTTTGTCGAATAACATAAATTATATGTAATTTTTATTTTATTTTATTTTTATTTATCTTTACATGTTATTTTTAATAGTTCATGAATTTTTTTTAAAAAGTAATTAAAATTTTAAAAAACTATTAATAGATTGTACTTATCTATCTCAACACAAAAAATGGTACTATACCAATCATGAAAATTATGGATCATGTACCTTATTTTTAGTCTTTATAGACCATATTAATACGACATGTTGAAAATTAATATTAAGCCGACACAATTCATTAATACATAAATTAATATTTAAATAAATTATGCTGATATAACACTATCTATTTAAGACCTCTATTTGCATAAAGGTTTATTACCATTAAAAGTCAAAACCATCAGCCTCTTTTCACCGACGGTAGAATTGAATTTGGCTACGTCCTCAAACTTATTACAACGGCTTTTCCTTTCTTTCCTTTTTTTTTTTTTGTTGTTTTGTTTTATTTCGATGAAAAACTTACCAAAAGTTTTAATTTCTTTTTGTTAAATCATTTTTAATTATTTACTCATTAGTATATACAGTAAATGGAAGATACTAATCTTTAAGTTAATCATGATTAATTGTTCAGTAAGTAATTTCCTTAAAACTATATATTATATATTCTAATGTCTTTTAAATTTTAATTTTTATTATAGGATATTTATAATTAATGAATTTGCTCATGCATATGTCCATATGTAACGGTCCACACTAGGTCCTGAAGTCACATGAGTCAGAATTTAAATCTTAATCCATGACATGTGTATTTGTTAAATTAAGAAATACTGGTGGTGTGCTTGCGCTATACTATGGATTCATTTTTTAAAAAGTAAAAGCATATAAGATCAAATATATAGTTAGTAATAGAAAATACAAAAAATATATATATTTACACCAAATTTATAACAAAATAAAAGAAAAATGCAGTCCAGAGTTCAAGTTCTAAATATTGAAGAAGCATGGTAGTGAAATGTCCGGTATAGCATATAGTTTAAAGTAAAGCTAGAGCAAGAATGATGTTAGAGCAATTTAAAAGAACTGTAATTTAAAAGAACACCAACAAACATATAATTCAAAAAAAAAAAAAGAATAAAACAATAAAATAGCAATAAAAAGCCATAACTTAAAATTATTTGACACAATACCTTCTAAGATCCTTGCAAAAAAAAAAAAAGGAAATAATACCAAAATCAATCTACCAACTTAAAAATAAAAAAAAAAATGCAAATGATACAATCTTAAAACCAATTCAACATTCCAAAGCAAGAATACATGAAATAAAAACAGAAAAAAAATAATCTCTTACTGGGAAGTTATATAAATATTAATTTAGTTTATATAACGAATTTATATGTCATAAGGTAAAAATAAAAATAGAACTAACATCAAAATCGGAAATAAAAATTTAAATTTAGTGTCTAATAAACCTATGATATAAAGATAAAGCTTATTTTGCTCTTTCTTCATATTTGTTAGAATTAAGGACAACCCAATTCATTTACCACAATATTTTGAGCACAATTAGAATATACAAATCACGTCAATAAGAAACATAGACACACATACACAAAAAGATTGAAACTCTCTTATTAACATACACATTAGTGTCACAGACTTTAAAATAAAGTTCAATCACAACATGGTATATTTTGGCTACTAATCGTTGTAAGTAAAATATACATGGTTTTAGCTACTAATTTTAATCCTTTGATCCCACCACATGCATTGTACCCAATTATCATGGTACCAAAGTATT